CGTGTACCGTGCTCACATGTACAGGGTTTAGGTATAAAAACCCGCACCACGTGTACCGTGCTCACATGTACGGGGTTTAGGTATAAAAACCCGCACCACGTGTACCGTGCTCACGGGTACGGGGTTTAGGTATAAAAACCCGCACCACGTGTACTGTGCTCACATGTACGGGGTTTAGGTATAAAAACCCGCACCACGTGTACCGTGCTGACATGTACGGGGTTTAGGTATAAAAACCCGCACCACGTGTACTGTGCTCACGGGTACGGGGTTTAGATATAAAAACCCGCACCACGTGTACTGTGCTCACATGTATGTACGGGGTTTAGATACAAAACCCCACAGCACGTGTACTGTGCTCACGGGTACAGGGTTTAGATACAAAAACCCATGCCACGAGTACTATGCCTTTTGAGTGCCTCACAGAATGTTCCGGAACAACCCAGCCTAGTCATGCCATGTATGTTCTGCACCAACTGTGGAATCTGACCACCAAGGAAAATGCAGCCATGTCACACACATCTGTTCTTTGACTTAAAAATTTAAAGAAATCTGATTTGACTTATCACTTAAAGAAATCATTCAAGTTCCTAACTTTAAGAGTTTTTAAGACACAAGCAGAAAGTTCAGTCAAGTGACTGATTTTTAAAGCCTAAAAGTGTTAATCTAGCACACCAAAATTATACACTAGCCTACTGTGTACCAGTGTCTAAAGGAAACGCAAAGAACACAGCTATCATTTTTAGCAAAAGGTTGGCCCCAAACGAAAAGCAGCTTAGATCTTAAAACGGAATTAAGCTCCAGCTGAATGTCTAATAACTAAGTGACAGAGATAAGCCTCATAGATGGATTCGTTATATCAAATTTCCATGAAAAGTCAACTGAACAGAGAAATTCCAGTGGCTTTTGCAAAAGGTCCTTCACTCATTAAATATTTAACCATCAAATAAAATAATGAAAAAGAGCTGATATTGAAACCAAGGTCAAACAATTTTAAATGATTTCTTGACTAGAACTTCAAGATTCACCTTCAACTAATAATCTTTACGTAATTAAAAAGATAAAAATAGCAGTCTGCGAGAGCGACTAAGAAGCGTATCTCCGCAACGTATGTCACATGCTGCGTCACGCTGTCTCTCTTCAGAAGGCAGCCACGGCAGAAAATGCTAGATGTCTGCTCAATACCCACTCTCCCCCTTTTCTTCCTGACAGAACTCTGATTTTGTTCAGGGCAGCAGTGCGCCCCACGGAAAGTCACACTTCCCAGCCTCGCTGTGGAGAGGGAAGGCTGGTGAGATTTAAAAGAAGTCAATGGTACGGCTTCTGGGATGATCCTTAAAGAGGGGCTGAGTCAGTGGCACCTGTTTCTGCCTCCACCTTCCTCGGCCCCCTTCCCGGGCTCCCTGTGGCACTGCACACTAGATCTGGACTGTCTACCCGAAGAAAAGAGACCCCCTGCTTGGCTGAACCACTGTTGTGGATCTGTTACATGCAGCTGACTGCAACTCAGCACAACACAGCCACGCAGGTCGAGTACTCACAGTCTGTAGTGTATTCCACCTGCGGGGGCTGCGCAGCTGTGCCCTCGGCCGCCTGGGGGGTGGGCGTGGCGCTGTCAGCCTGGGCTTTACGAACCAGCGCTGCAAGAGGGTGATCAGGATCCACCACCTTCAAAGGCTGGAGACAGAGAAAAGACATGGTCTTATCATTGTCTGTATTTTGAACCCCATGGAACTCTTCTGCTGCAAAAAGGCCCAACTCAACTTTATAACACAGAATGTATAATTCTTCCTCTAGCTTTATCTCTAAAAAGCTTTCAGAATATTAAAGTCTTATCACATGCTTGGAGCCCTGGTGGCATAGTGGTTAAGAGCTACAGCTGCTAACCAAAAGGTTGGCAGTCCAAATCCACTAGTTGCTCCTTGGGAACCCTATGGGGTGGTTCTACTTCGTCCTATGGGGTCACTATGAGCTGGAATCGACTGGACGGCAATGGTTTTAATCACATGCTTAGGAGCCCTGGTGGCACAGCAGTTAAGCACTCAGCTGTTAACCCAAAGGCTGGCAGTTCAAAACCACCACCACTCTGTGGGAAAAAGATGTGGTAGTCTGCTTCTATAAAGATTTAGAGACTTGGGAACCCTACAGGGCAATTCTACTCTGCCCTACAGGGTCGTTATGAGTTAAAATTGACTCAACGGCAAAAAGTTTTTTGGTTTACCATATGCTTTGGAAAATACACAAACAAGGACACCCACAGAGGTCCTTGACTGACTGTGGTTAAGTCCTCCAGCTGGTTGTTAGTTCCAGAGGAACTCAGTCAATGGAAAGCTATAATCTCAGTAATAGGCATTAAGGGAAGGAAGCAGAGACGACCAAGACAGCTACTGATAAAACCTCTAGTCACTCGGAGCTCGAAACTTTGTCCTTCCTGGGAGGCATTTCTGATCTGTAATCACCAACAACTTTTAGCAACGGATCAATCAGGAATCCCTCCCTCAAGGGGTCAGCCTACTGCATGCCTTCAGAAAACAGTATGTGTAGGCCGAATGGACTCCGTTGTATATCACAAGTGGCAGAATGAAGGCATGTGCTAACCACAGACAATGCTGAGTGACTCCTTTAGAAGAAGACTCGTAAGAGAAAGATCAGAAGTAAACATATTTACTTTAAAACTACCTACAAAAGGGGCAGAGTAAGAAGCACATATTCTAATACATATAAGACCTGATCCCATTATAGTGAAACACGCATGACCAAACATTTCCAAATCTTAACAGCCTACTTATGCTAAATATCCCAAATGGTAAAACTGTAAGAAAATAACTTGCTTGTAAAATTTATAATATGGGATCTCTAACAAAGAAGGGAAGCAAATCCTCTGCCACCAAGCTGAAAACAGTACTTCACAATATACGTCAATGATGATAAAATAAGACGTAGCTACAATAAGCAAGAAATGGCACATTTAATATCTTCCAAAATTAAATTCACAAACATTTTGTTAAGGCACAAAAGCAGCTCAATATTGAGATAAAAACCTTCATAAGCTCTTCCAGGCGACTGCACTGTTTGGAAGCAAAGAGAGATGGATGCAGGTAATTACCGTCTTCATCATCATCATCTTCATTGTCAGAGCTGACCCCTGGTTCTGAAATTAAAATTACGTTTGTTTAAGATTGTGTTTCAGATGAAGGTTTATAGAGCAAATTAGTTTCTCATTAAACAGTATAAAAACTGTTTTGTGACACTAGTGGCCAACACCACAATGTGTCAGCACTCTCCCCTTCTTGACCTTGGTTCCCCATTACCAGCTTTCCTGTTCCCTCCTGCCTTCTTGTCCTTGTGCCTGGGCTGGTGTGCTCACTTAGTCTCCTTTTGTTTTATGGGCCTGTCTAATCTTTGGCTGAACCTCAGGAATGGCTTCAGTACTGAGTCAAAAGGGAGGCTGGGGGCTAAAATTACATCTTAAGACTGGTATAAGGCAAGTAAGAATGTACAAAATAACTTAAGTAAAAACTCAGAAGCAGACAAAGGCAGAGCTATATATGGGCATTTCTTGGTGATGTATCAAAAAAAGACACACTTGGAAAACATTCTGTGTGGTGTTGCCATCTAGGTTGTTCAGAAGAAAGCCAGAGAGAGAGGAAGATGGGTCGCAACCATCTAGCAACTTCCCTCCAGCATCAACGAGTCTGAAGGTATTGTATGTTATTTTCACGCCCTGAGTTGTTCTAGTTTTTTGTGGAAAAAAGGCAAAATCTTACTGATTTATGGAATTATATTGATTTATGATTTCTGTTAGCAGCAGAAAACTAAAAAATAACAACAAACTAACTTGAGGAAGATGAGATCTGCAATAAGATTTACACAACTCTGATTTTGAACACAGGTCAGCAGGAGAAAGCAAAATTCAATGAAGATTATACATACGTGCACACACGCACACGCACACACACACACAGACAAATAAATATAAAGAGATGGTTCTCTGAATGTATTAAGAATAAAGTTAACTGGTCTTTGTGTAAGAGCTCCAAACAGAGACATTACTACAAACATATGAGTTTTAAGGCAGATAATCCAGGTGACAAGTGGACATCTACAATTACTGCTGTGGCCCTCAGGCTGTGGGACGAGTGTGCTGGTGCGAAATCCAGGGGTGTGAGCCCCGCTGTCTCTGTGATGTGTTAAACAGCCAAATGTTATAGATATTCAATCATATCTCACCTAGCTATAAAATACCCTATCAGAATTCAGTGTACTTTAGGACGTATCATGGAGCCTCTTGCGACACTCTGGCCCAGCAGTATGTACAGCCTGCCCTACTGGCAGGATTTCATGAACACCCTAAAAACTCCAGCATCTCAATTCAAGCATGCCTCTTTAAGAATGAACACCTTTACACTTTCTCCAGAGCCACCACTCCTCCTCCCTCCCCCGGCCACACATCGGAGTCTGAACAGGACAGAGTCTGAACAGGACAGGGACAGGTCCACATACTTTTTTTCTCTTCATTTTTGTTTTCGGCCAGAACGGTGTAGCGGCCCTCCTTCATAGCTTTCTGGATGAATTTATAGTAGGGGTTGAGGTAGTGATCGAAACGCAAGAAGTCAAACTGGGAGTTTCGGGCTTGCTTGGCTTTCAGCATGATTTCAAACTGGGCGCCCTGCTTGCACACGAAATTGGCTGTGCGCTCGATGATGGCGTGCATTTTTGCCGTTGGTGGCTACGGGAAAACACGTATGCATGTTACCCACTTTTCCTCTGTCACTGGCCACATGATTTAATTAACAAACAGAAATCACCAGGTTTCACTGTCATTTATAGGAAACGACTCATTTCCACTGGAAGAGCCCAATGCCTACAATTGGGAGTTGAGAGGGACCCCCCGGCACTGCACCTGGCCACAAGACCACCCCAGTCTGCTCTGCATCTCGCCAGTATTCTGTGGGGGAAAAACTCACCTACCAAGGCAGCCCCTTCCACCTTCGCACAGAACTGACAGGAGGCAATTTCTTCTTTCACACCAAGTCGACACATTTTATATGTTAAGAGGGCTCTAACATGAGCTTTGAGCTTTGCACACACACACACCAGGGCTCTAAGATGGGTGTTGGGCTTTGCACACACACAACAGGGCTCTAAGATGAGCTTGGGCTTTGCACACACACAACATGGCTCTAAGATGAGCTTCAGGCTTCGCACATACACAACAAGGTTCTAAGATGAGCTCGGGCTTTGCACACACACAACATGGCTCTAAGACGGGCGTCGGGCTTTGCACACACACGACAGGGCTCTAAGATGGGTGTCAGTCTTTGCACACACACAACAGGGCTCTAAGATGAGCTTGGGCTTTGCACATACACAACACGGCTCTAAGATGAGCTTCAGGCTTCGCACATACACAACAAGGCTCTAAGAGGAGCTCGGGCTTTGCACACACACAACATGGCTCTAAGATGAGCTTTGGGCTTCGCACATACACAACAAGGCTCTAAGATGAGCTCGGGCTTTGCACACACACAACATGGCTCTAAGACGGGCGTCGGGTTTTGCACACACACGACAGGGCTCTAAGATGGGTGTCGGGTTTTGCACACACACCACAGGGCCCTAAGATGGGCGCTGGGTTTGCACACACACACAACAGGGCTCTAAGATGGGCGTCGGTCTTTGCACACACACAACAGGGCTCTAAGATGGGCGTCGGTCTTCGCACACACACAATGGCTCTAAGATGGGC